TCAGGAATGTGAGAATAAGCGTTTGATTTTCGTAGTTTGGATAGCATTTTCCGAATATCCACGGGCCAGTGACTTTAGTTTGTGATGACTCACATCCGCCACGTCGCGGTGTTGTTAAGCAGACATTTGTGGCTTTTATAGGGAGAACGCTTGCCAGGCGAAACCCACCACGTTCTGGAACACTGCCGCCGAACTCTTTGCTGGAACGGGTTATACAAGAACCACCCAGATGGCACCGCGAGGAGGTTGTTCGGCTAGCCAGTCGGTAGGTTAGGATTACGTCTCCTCTAAGCCTTCGGTGGTGCATTGAATGCATTCCCAAACTAAGTAGACGCTCGGGGTACGTCCGTCCCCGTAACCCATCAACTAACCTAATACCCACTCACAAAACCCTCTCTAGCTCCATCTTGTCCCAGACGAGGCATGGCGGACAAGCCTGGGCGCAGTATGCCAGATGAGGCCAAACGAAAGCCGAGAACAGCCTCGTAAAGATGCCGCCCGTCAAGCCTCCGAAAGAAGGTCGAATTAACCAAAATATGCGGAAACTTCTGATTGCGGTCTTCCTCCAGTTGTCGCCGGAGTGTAAAGCCGAAGAGTGTACGACGCCTACGTCAATCTGGCTAGATACACGAGGGAGTTCGACCCCACCGACCACGTACTTCGTAGGAGGACAACCTCCTCCAATTCGAAGAACGGAGCACTGCTTGATGTATGGGCAGTAACCATAAAGTAGACCAGTCCCAAAGCTTATCCAATGCTCGCTGAAAAGCTTCGGAACCCCCAGGAACATCAACAATGTTCCACAGCTTCAGGTCATCAGCAAACAACAGCGATGGTACCTCAAGCTCCGCGAGTAGGTCATTCACATAAATAGAGAACAGCAGCGGTCCAAGGACCAAGCCCCGCAGCACGCCACTGAGGACAGACTGCTTAAACGATAGACCCCGGCCTACTCGTGCACACTGTTCTCTACCCTCCAAGAAAGCAGTCACCCAATGAAGGGCGCGGCCAGATACCCCGTAGGAGGACAGCTTTTGCGCGAGCCTCAAAAGTGGTACCTTGTCAAATGCCTTTGAAAAGTCGACAAAAAGCACGTCCAGTGTGTGGCCGTTATCCACTGTATCCGCCCAACTTTCGCGGGCTACCTGTAGAATCGTCAGACACGAAAATCCCTTCCGGAATCCGTGTTGTGCATTGCTAAGTAGATTAAATCTACTCAGATGACTCTCCAATGAATGTCTCACCAGTTTCTCGAGGAGTCTGACTACTACACTCGTCAGACTAACTGGCCTGTAATTTGCAGGCAGACCCCTGTCTCCACTTTTGAAGATGGGACAGGTGACAGCTTCCTTCCATTCGGAAGGCAATGCACAGCTGTCAAGCGATTTCTAAAACACAATAGCGAGCAGTCCACTTAGTTCCGCAGCAAACTCATGCAACAGTTTCGGGTGAATTAAATCCGGCCCAGAGGTCTTAGAAGGGTTGAGCCCTTCTAACAGCCTACGAACTTCCGTCTCCGCTACAATTAATTCAGATAGTGCTGAACCCTCCGAGGTCCTACAAACCAGATCCACACCTGTCAAAGAGGTTTCCCTTACAAACGCTGGTGCATATTGCCCACTGAGTACACAGGCCTTGTCATAGTCCGTATGCGCATGAGTACCGTCATCACGCATCAATACTGGAATTGACATGTTCGAACCGCAGCGCCTTTTGACATAAGCGAAGAATCTTTTTGGATTCTCTGAAGCTTCGTCCGCTAACCCTTTCTCGAAATTGAGCCGAACATTCCTTAGGTGTTGCTTACACTTATTTTTAGCCTTACGGTACCTGTCATAAGTATCGATGGACGGAGCATCTCGGTAAGTCCGCCAACATATAGACCTCTTTGTGAGCAGATGCCTGCCAATGGGATCTATCCAGGGCTGCTGTGCTCGTGCTTCCTTTCTCCTTGTGGCTGGGATGAAGGGAGCAAAGACCTCCGTGAGGTAGGACTTAAATTTATCTCAGGCAATCTCGACAATATCGTCGCCTGAGCTTTCACAACGCAACCCGAAGCCTTGGCTCTCAAGGATTGACAGTCTGCGTGCCATATGTTCGGGCGAAACTCAACAGTACTCTGGTAGCGTCTAGACAGAGTACAACTGAAGAGCAAACAAACATGATCAGTGGAACCCAGTGGAGGTCCGTAAGTAATGCCACCAACAAAATCGAGTGACTTAGCAAATACAAGGTCTATGACAGACGGTGCTTGGGCGTCCATGTACCTAGTGGGGAGGTCAATGAACTGGTGCAAAGATACTTGGAACGTAAGCTCAAACAGATCAGCGCCGAATGTGCCTGACGCTGAGTCGCAAGAAAGGTCTGACAATCACCAAACACTTATTTGCGTTCGGGAGCGAATGATGTCAAGTACCTATTTGGATACGCCCCCAGGGCTTCTACACACAATTACAACTGTAATCTGAGCCGAGGATGGGCTACTAACAGCCGACAGAGCTTCAACAGTTTTGTCCACTGACTGAAATAAGCAGGCCTTCAGAACGTCAAGTTTACAGCTCACATAAAGAGCGACGCCCCCTCTCTGTCGGCCAGCAGAGCGATCGCATCGTAATGGTGCTTAGCCAGGTCAGATGTACTTCACCATCCGTGATGTCCTGAGACAGCCACTTTTCAGCGAATAGTAGTATATCGGGATGAGACCCATCTACAAGCAGACCTTACTCGTACACCTTATTCCTTGGGCTGCGCACATTACTTAACACTATCTGAAGGTATTCGTTAGATCCAGACCTGGGTCGTGCGCTACCAGAATGGGCAGTGGTAGGGCGGAAAACGACCGCCGGCTGACCACCCGAAAACCCACTAACCGGAGAACCTGTTCACCGGCCGCTCGCCTAGTTTTGAGGTCCGTGATGGCCCCTTAGCTTCAGCCTATCGGCCAGCGGAAGGCTCGGCTGAAAGCTAATATTTGTACCTTTCAGTTTAACCGCAAACCGCATGAGAGCGCTGCGTTCCTCCGGGGTAGAGAGTACCACACGAAGTAGCCGCAGTAAGGGGTTTGGTACATTAACTGGGACGTTCCCCAGTCTAAGCAGCTTCCTGACAGTAACGCCTGGAAAACCAGGCAGAAGCAGCTTCGTTACGCACATTTTAAACCACTGAAGGTCGTCTAACATGCTATCAGCAGGAATGGCAGCAGTAGATTCAGCCGCGTTACGAAATATAACGCTGCTATCCGTGAAAGAATCGCCACGACGGGGTGTATTAACCCCACGGGTCTTTGATTCAATACTTGGAGCAGGTGGCTTCCCTAACGGTGATAGGACTGTCCTTAGCCCCTCCGATGAGGTAGCAACGGCAGCATATGTTTTTCGCTTCATTGTCGATGCCATCCTTTTGTTAGGGTCATCGATTTCGCCGAAAGGCTTTATGGCAGATTTGGTCTGCTTTTTCTTCTTGATAACGGGAGCAGGGTCCTGTGAGGATTATCGCTTTGAGAAAAAGCAGGCAAACTTTTATAACATGCCTTCTCGGTGAGCACCGAGGTTGCCGGCAAGTTCCGCTGACAAGTAGTGCGTGTTGGAATCTTCGCCTTCGCAAAACCGCCAGACGGTTTGCCAAGTAACTTCACTTGGCTTGTTTCCGGTGCCGAGACAATTAAAACTTTTTGCTTAGCAGGGAGCTTACGGGGTATCTTGGCTCTCTTCCGCTTTACTCGAAGGACCATTGAACTAGCAATTCGGCGTCGATCAGGGTAGCTTTAGATACGACGTCCGAAGCTGCTTCATTCTTGTTGTCGTAGCCATCTGGGCCGGTGACATAATGATTGGTGCCACAAGTTGATCATCAGTGTAGGCGATCAAATCCGCGTTGTTGGATACCGGAAGCGTCTTTATGAGCAGATCAATCTTAAAGCGAAGATCTGAGAGCATCGAGAACGAACGCTCTACATTTCTCAGCCGGGTATCAGGAGATTCGTCTCTCGTACGAAAGGCCGCGCGGCCTTGCCGGCGGCTGCAGCAATTGGCACAACTAAAAAGCAACTTCTCGCTGGAGGCCAGCGCTGCGTACTGCTCGGTATTCAGGTCCGTACAAAGCTGATGGTACCATCGGTTGCAGACATCTCACTGCATACCGCCGGAATCGTCAGGTACTGGTATATTGCAGCTTGGACTGCCACAAAGCGCGATAACCTCAGCATCCAAGCCACCAGGAACAACAGCCTCGGTGCATTGCGAGACCGAAACAGTGGAAAACAGAGTGGAATTACAACGCGTACACAAAAGCTAAACGACCGCAATAAAAAAGGCAAAAAAGGGGTGCAAAACGGGATTAAAACTGGAAAATCCGGAAAATTTACCAGTAAGCATCAAAGAGGCTTTGACCAGAAACGCTTTAATCGATTCAAGATAGCTTGGATCAGAGGAAATTTGACAATAGTCAAATTCCGTAGTAAGTGTTTATTCAAACACTATTTTCCACAATATTGTAGCTAAAAAGCTTGATCAGTATGGCACGCCAAAAAACTGAATCTGAAAATACATTCAAGCATCTAACTCCGAACGTGTTAAATTTCTTGGTACCAAAAATTGATTCATCTTATGATTTAGCTGAGTTAACCCATGTGACCTTTGGCCATGGTGACAGCTTATCCTCCAAAATAAAAATGAACCATTTCCGGCCGGGAAGGTTTAATCGATAGGAATAGCAAAACTAAAGTTTGTTGTCGTTTTGTTGTACGTCCTGTGCGAAGCTTCAGCGTTCAGTGCAAAAAATAATGAGTAGGGTATATATATATACTAAAAGTAGACTATATGAAGCAGATTATAAATAGTTATGCTGTAGGTCGAAGTAAGTCACGATCCAAGCTCAAGTAAGCAAGGATCAACTAAAATCACGCGCCTAAACAGTGTAAACGAATCTACTTGAAGTAAGGAATTTGTTGATTTTATCGTTATTAAACAGAGAGAGAAAGTTATAATACTTGTGGGTTTAATAAATTAAACGGAAATGTAGTAAAGCGTCATCTTTCTCGGACATCGGTCTCAAAGTCCACTAGCGGCTAGTAATAGATACCTGTTGTAGTAGGTAGTTAAGCGATTATTTGTACTGTTGTTGATTCACTACCAACTATGTTATTCACAGTCAACCGCCAAAAGCACCTCCCAAGCTTCAATCAGCTGCTTCCTGGTTTTTAGACACTTTTACGCCGAGTTTCCTGTCTAATGACACTTACAGACTCTGAATCTGTTGCGATTAACACCATACTCCAAGATGCTACTATGGAACTACGTTTGCTTCACCGTATGTTTAGTACGCGAATGGTAATGATCACGAAAATACTTATGCTAATGTTGAAGGAGAGTGGTAATTTAATACAGGAAAAACAGTTTCAGAAATATGCTGAGAAAGTATTGTGCAAATATTCCTTAAGTTCAAGTGACTTTGCTGACTTCTATTAATAATTTCAGAAAACGGCGGATCCGCAGTAATGAGACAATTGCGAAAACCTGATAGAAGCCAGGCCTCTCAAGAAGAGATCTTAGAGAATTCTTTCAACTCCACTGAATACAACATTATGCTATGCACAAAGCTGTATGTGTTATGCCATTTTACTTGCAAGAGCATAGGAACGACGCTATTGAATTACTTGATAATCTAACTGGTGAGATATCTCGTCGCGGCACTTTCGAAACGCTTGATGAAATAGTCTCTAAGAAAGAGGAGATTTACAGGGAAATAAAACAACTATATCAAAAGTACGTTCCAGTGTGTGTTATTTCTTGACGCCTGAGTAAGTATACAATAGGTTGTAGGTATAACCTTACATCGAAAATGTTTGCAGTTCTCACTGCTGCACATTCGGAATCACTTCTACGAGCACTTTACCTTCATCTTTAGACACATGGCTTCTGGTGATAAGACTCCTAAGTCACTGTAAGCGAACCGCGTGTGTTTTCGTTCTGACAAAGGTTGATTCTGTCCGTCTTCTTGTGATTCATACGGGCTTTGAGATGCGCGAAATACTCGGAATCTTCTGCTGGTCTATCGATTATCATGGTGTTCAAGTGTCCTTGAGTTCATTGAGTTGTAGAGAACAGGAGGGAAATCCCTTTTCAGCCCTATCGATTCCGCATCATACTGGGTTTGCTGCGTGTCGTTGAGTTACGACGTTCCTCGAGGGTTTGTCGTAATTGCAGTGACAGCCGCAAGATTCCAGCATTCTCAGCGAATGTTTGTCTAACAGCCGCTTGAAACTTTCCTCGGACGGAGCGTCTGCAATTGCTTCCGATAGGCTGTTCCAGTCATTCACCAATCTAGTGGATGGGTGACGTCCTTGCGAATTTTGTGTATTCTTTGCTTAAACAGTTTCCATGTGTGACCTCGGGTGGGACAGTCAGTGTTGGGCCGGAAGAATTGTTGTAACTCACTTCCAAGTTTCCCTAGGAGGATGCGCCTAGTGTAGATGAGATCACCCCGGTGACGGCGGAGCTCGAGGGAGAACAGATTTAGCTGCTGGAGTCGAATTGGGTACGGGCAATCAAGAAGCCCCAGAACAGCTTTTGATGCGCGTCTCTGAACCTTTTCCATTAGAGCGCATTCAAACTTTGAAAGAGGATGGCTAGCTGGTAGGCCATATTCTAAGACTGGACGGACGTACGAAGTGAACAACGGTCGAAAATCTCGGGAGTCATTCGAGCGAATGATCTTCTTAAAGCACCTACTAGTCTCCTTCCAGTGGTCACCTTCTTTAACATGTCCTGCGTCGTTCTAAGGTCAGAAGTCACGATAACCCCGAGATCTCTCGTGGGTGGTATTTCTAAGGAGAAACCCACCAATGTGGTATGCACCCTAGGGTTCGGTGCTACCCCTTGGGAGAACAGCGCATTTATCTCGGTTTACTGGCAGTTCCTACCTGATGGACCACTCGTGTAACTGGTCTAGAGCCCCTTGTAATCTGTCCGCATCCTCAATGCTGGATACTGTTGACCAAAGCTTGAGGTCATCGGCGTAGATCAAGCACTCGGTTTGTAGCGCAGTCGGTAGATAGTTAATGTGCAGTTTGAAGAGCTCTGGTCCAAGTACTAATCCTTGGGGAATACCACTAGTAATAGGCAATGGAGCAGAGAGGGTTTGGTTCACTTGTACGCGCATTGTCCTACCCCTTAGGAAATCGGCAATCTAGGAGAGACGATTTCCCGTAATGCCAATTCCCTGGAGTTTATGTAGCAGTCGTAGGTGTGGAACCTTATCAAAGGCTTTGCTGAAGTCAATGAATATTACGTCAATCTGTTTTCGGGTATCTATGGCTTCTGCCCATGTTTCCCTGGCGAAGAGTAAGTTAGTGATGCATGAGCGTGCTCTCCGGAAGCCATTTTGAGCAGGTAAGATGATTGTGGTAAAGAAGTCACTGCCCGTTCATAGGCTATTCAATGTTCTTTCTGCGATGGCTGTTTGCGTATCATTTGTTGTGATATCTCATCAAATTTTTATGAGATTCGTCAGTCGTATACAGCATTCTCTGTTAGTATCTTTTGTGACTCTTGTCTTACTTTAGTTAACACCTAAGGTGCTCAGTCTGGTTTAGCTGCTTTTACTTCCCGCTCCTCCAGTGGTCACTCCGCTCCCCAACCGACTGTTTCTCGATATTTGCCTTCTTTTCCTTCTTTGTGCCTTCTGATTTTGTCACGTCAGTTTTTAAACACATTCCTATCCCACTCTCGGAGTCACGAATGTCTAGTTACAACCCCAGTAAGCCCCCGCCCAAGAGGTTTGTGACCGTCGTCAAGGAGAACGCGGCGGCTGCTCCCGCAAGCCGGATTCCTGTTGTGGATAAGTATAAGCCTATAACCAAGTCTGTAGAAGACAAAGCGTCACCTCCAAAGCGCGGGCTGGTATCGGTTCTTCATAGTGTCAACCATTTGGAGAAACTGTTCAATGACAAGCTGCATTCTAAGCCACCGATCCCCGAGACCTCCAAAGTCCCTAACCTGGAACCTTTTCATTATAATTAACTCCCTGGAGTCGAATAAAACAACCGCAGCAGAGAGCATTTAGGATGATCAATTATTTCTAAAATGAACGGTTTCCATACTGTTTGATGAGAGGGAACCGGGGGGTTAATATCCTCTTTGTTTTTCGACTTGGCATAAAACAAAAGATTCTTCTAAGCTGGGTGCCATTAAGGTTGTATGCCAAAGTGAAGATGAATACCGTAGGATCCTTCGACGGACTTTGCGCCTCAAGGCAGAACCGTTTCACATCTTACGGGATCTATCCCTGGAGGGCCGCGTTAAGATGAAGATTGCAGTCAATGAATTGAGAACTCGCCGTGCGAACTGTGAAACCGATTTGCATATTCAGGATTTTCGCGTGGTTCGGAAAACGCAGAGAACCTGCTGGAAGCCAGTTCTTGTCCTTTCCGGACATTAAACTCAACTACTGGATTGCACGTACTTTTTGCGAACGTATACAGTCTAGTTAACAAACTAGATGAAGTTGTGCACCTCGCCTTAATATCCCACCCCTGACCTTATGGCGTTTACGGAGACATGGTTGTCCCCAGAAATCCCAGAGCCCGAAGTATATATTCCTGATTACAGTCTCTCACGAGCTGATCGCATTGGTTTGAAGTCGGGCGGCGGCGTCATTCTCTATTGGAAAGAAAAGCTGAAGGTCCATGTAGTTGTTGTCTTGGGAAGTGATGACTGCTCCGAAGTGCTTTAGTGTCGTATTCACGATGGATATGAATCCCTCCTTCTCGGTGTCTTCTACAGAGCTCCCCTGAGTTCTGGTGATCGTTTACTGGCCTCTCTAAAGAAGCATGGTTGAAATAAGGATTGTTTATTAGTGGGGGACTTGAATGCCCTTAATGTTGATTGAGATCTTCACTGTGATGATGCACCTGCCTCCTTCTTTTCTACGTTTCTGGAAGCTGTTTTTGAAAGCAATTTACTTCAGTATGTTGCGGCAGCTACTCACATTATTCCTGGTCAGACGCCGCACATACTCGATCTTGTGCTTTCGCCTGCACAATCGGATGTTTCTGATTTGAATGTTTTACCACCAATCGGGAGGAGTGACCACTGCCTACTTTCCTTTCACTGGACCACACGGTTGAGCATTCACAACCACTGTGTCTATCGTCGGAATTTCTGGCGTGCTGATCCAAACCGCTTGAAGATGGCCGCTAGCGAGCAGGATTGGAGTCTTCCCCAGCACTTAGACGTCGATGATGCTTGGAGCCTTGTTTACTCGAAAATGTTGTCCCTTATTGATGATGTTGTTCCCATATCCAAACGAAAACCATTTACTAGAGGTCCCCTGGATTGACCGAGAATTACGATCGCTCATGAACCAAAGACACAAACTTTGGAATCGCTATAGGCTTTCGAGATTGGAAACTGATTATAGAAATTATAAATTGGTTCGGAACGTATGTACATCGAAAAAACGTACGAAACGGCAGCAATACGAAGGTCATCTGGCTGAACATTCCAAGTCCATACCGAAGCTGCTTTTCTCCTACTTGAAAAGGAGCACCAGAGCCGGAAGTGGAATACCGTCCTTGCATTCCCACGCTCTTAACACCGTGCTCCACGACGATGCTGATAAAGCTAGTCTTTTAGCTTGCCATTATTCATCGGTCTATTCAACAGAGGTGCCGTCAGTTGATTGTTATTCGTTCTTGCTCTCAGTTCTCAGTGATATGGACATAAATGTTAGTATGGTATCCAAACTTTTGTGCGAGCTGGATCCAAACTCTTCCCCGGGACCTGATGGATTGCATCCTCTTTTCCTCAAGATTGTGGCCGAATATATTGCTGTTCCTATCTGTCACGTATTTCGGCGCTCACTTGAGGCCGGGCGTCTTCCGCTTGCCTGGAAAGTGGGCATAGTCAAGCCCATATACAAAGGAGGAAATCGACAAGATCCTACAAATTATCGGCCCATCTGTCTAACATCTGTTGTCTGCAAGGTTATGGAGAGGATTCTCAAGCGAGCTCTCAACCTGCATTTCCAGAACCTCAAGATCATTTCAGCTGCGCAGCATGGGTTCCGTCGTTCGCGTTCATGTGTCACCAATCTTCTGGTAGCTCGAGAAAAGTGGGCTAAATCCATAGATGCTGGTAAGCGGCTAGATGTCGTATTTGTGGATTTCAGTAAAGCTTTTGACAAGGTTCCACACGAAATTTTGCTTAGCAAACTTCGCAGTATTGGTGTTTCAGGAAAAATCCTCTCTTTGCTCACTGGTTTCCTGCATGACCACGCCTTACGTGTGCAAGTAAATGAGTCCCATTTCTTCCCTGTAAATATGACCAGCGGTGTTCCGCAGGGCTCCGCTTTTGGCCCTGAACTTTTTCAAGTCTTTATTAATGACCTGGCGTCTGTACTACAGGCAGATTGTTTGATTTACGCAGATGATTTAAAGCTATGGATGGAAGTCTCCTGTGTGGATGAAGCAAACGCTCGATTCGCTGCATGATTGATCGATCAGGTGTCAATTACCCATAAATCACGATAAATGTTCCGTTCTTCCGATCGGTGCCTCCGAACCATTTGGAATGTATCATATCGGTGGGTTTTTGCTGCCAAACTCTAATTGTGAGAGGGACCTTGGCGTCGTTGTGACCCCAGACCTAAAATCGGCTGAAGATACCTTGAGGAAAGTCGCTTCTGCCAACAGGTTGTTTTTCGCCATACGACGATCCTTCTCCCTCTTGTCTCCGGAGATCTTCAGGCTCGTGTTCACTTCTCA